TTGTAAAACAAATCATCTAATTCATTGAAAATTCATCCATTAATCTTTGTCCATTCAGCAAATTAAAGTTAGGCCTACTTACCTAAATAGCTTATATTTGGAGCAAGTTCACTCCCGTTTATTTCAGGGTAAAACCTCAACTGTTCTTCGTCGTTAGGTCCCAATATGTTTGTATACACTGGAACTAAAAACCAACTGTTAATAGAATGTTGTATTACAAATGGGAAAGCGTAGGAAAAATAATTTCAATAAAGCAAACATTTAAGTATTATATTTACATGCCTCTATTATTGACTAACTTATTGGATAATATACTTATAGGTATAATACAGACTAATATTTAGATTTTACACTATGATAAACTGATAAACATTATATTATAGCGTACAGTTTTATCCTATTAAATAACAAAGACAAGTTTAATACTATAGGATATCAATAAGTCAAACTTTCAAAAGTTCTCAAATTTGTTACCTAAGTTAATTCCCTTGCAATCCCAGTAAATCACAGTGCTAAACAGAAATCCTTTAAAAGTCTAAGGTTTTAAATGTTGTTTAAATGTTTTTTAAAAATGGCCTAATAAAATCTTTGAATCTTTGAGCCTTTGATAAGTTAAATTTTACTGTTTTGCAATCAATAATATTTTTCATTATGTCATGTCGTCAGCTATACAAAGAATATAAAACATTAACAGGCGATAGAGGTACCCTTGTAATTTGTCTTCTGTGCAGAGGACAGCAATGTTGAGTAAGCTTTCACCGATTAAAAATTTACCTAAAATTATTACCCTTTCATTTTCAGTTTCTACAGATATTGAGGTCCTACTATACAGGGTGTTTTTAAAAGAATGCCGGGATTTCAAACGGTCGTTGCTCAGGGACTATTCAAGATAATTAAACGATTTAAACGTCAAATTGAAGGGAAAAGAACAAAGTTTTTTTCTTGGTCTATCATACAATTCGGAATGATTTAATAAAATTCATATTTTCGTCAATCTTATATAGCGTTATCTTATAGCGTAAAACTGGCAAAGTCTGACAAAAGTCAAGACAAAAGAATAGCCTTACATACTTTAGACATAACACCTCCACCATTGAACATTCTCCATATTACTCTGGTATAAAATTGTATAATAGCCTGCCTAGCACCATAAAGGGTTTGACAGATTTTAAAAGATTTAAAACCAGTTTATTCAAATTGTTATCAGATAAATGCTGCTACAAGATTGGGGACTTTTTCAATTAGCTATTAGTATGCAAATCAATAGTTAGTTGTAATGGTTGAACCGTAAGTAGTTGTAGGGGAGAAAGTGTATACATATAGATTATAGCTCTTAATTAATTAGTGATGTAAATATGCCAAATGTATAGTTATGTTTATTCTTGACTTGACACAATTCATGTATAGAAATGTACTGTTTGAATAAAGGATTTTTTTATTTGATTTGATTTGATCTGTACGCTTAGGGCGATCGGCGGGTTTATCTGATGTCTTAACTGAATCTTTTTTTGCCCAAAGACTCTATCTTTCATAGATAACAAAGTGACCAATTTAGGTTTGTTAAACTGAATACTTCATCGGGCAATAGATTTTTTTGGACTTCCGATGCAGAATTGTCGGATTTCTCCGACTATGCCATCACTTGTTTTTAGCCGGCCAGGTGAATGTCTTTTCAAAACATTTCGGTGCCACGAAACTTATTAAACCAGTTTCAAGTTTCTTTATCATCAAGTAGATTTAAATTTAGTTTAATTTAGCAATGGATATAAACTCTGCGAACTACAGATTACAATCTGTGCCTTCTCTTGCGCCATAAACGTCGTACTGGCGACTGGCGTCAGGCGTTTGAGTCACAATAGCGGCCTATCACCCCGCAACTGTCTCTAGCATGCCAAGGTAAAAGTTTCCTCCCTTGCTACACGGGATACAAAACTTAGTTATATCAGCTTCAATTTGACGTATAAAACGTTTAGTTACCTTGAATAGTATCCAAACAATTACCATTTAGAATGCAGGCATTCTTTTAAAAACACCCTGTATTACATTTCCTATAAATAACATAAACCTTAGTCAGATTAAACCTTTAAAATGAACTCAAATTATTATCAACAACCTAACTTATTAGTATATCACCTTATTATTGTACCGTAACTGTAAAAGAGGGTAAAGAGAAAATCATTCTATCGTGCACCAATAAGAAAGAAACCTTATGTCAAAATGTGTGCTGTAAGCATTTCCTTAAGCACGAAAATTGCCTACGAAGAAATAATGGTACTCATTCACTAATGTTAAAAACCAAGAGGTTTTACATTTTGTTTTATTTGCTAAGTTAACATCTAGGATCTTTCATTTTGAATAAAAATTATACTAGGGGGCCTACCTGATTTCTTCCCAGTTTTATAAAGATTCCATTCTTCTTCTGACGTATTTGGACCAAAGAAATTACCAACACATAGTAAAAGATCAAATGGTCCATTCTTTTTGTTGACTTTTTCAACTCGGGAGAACAACGTTTTAAATTTTCCATTAACATCGCCACAAACAAGCCTGCAAATAAGAAATACAAAGTTATATTCTAAGTAACTTCAATATGTTTGTGAGATAATTGGATGACATGAGATTTATTGACGATTAGAATTGTATTTGGGGGACATAGGTACTAGATCACCAAGCTGCAAACCTGCTTAAATATGCCACCTTCTACGGGCCTCTGCACTATGGACCACCTCACCGGGGCTGGTGGCCAGACAAACATTTACCACACCAAGAACCAGGACTGTAGTAGCAAAATGGACATTGAAAAAAATGAAGATAAGATTGGTTTTTAGTAGATAGTAAAAAACAATATTTTAGAGCCTATAAGGCTACCGGTAGGCAAAATTAATAATATAAATATAAGTATGTACCCTTTTTCTCTCTCTCTTCTTTTTTGTTCAATCTAAATCGATAAAAAAAGTAGGCTATGTAGTCTATAGGCCCTACCCTATGGACTCCGAAACCGCTCGCTAGATTGTAATGAAACTTTCAGGCATTTAAGCATTATTCAAGGATGGTTTGTGTGAAGTTTGGTGCAGATCCATCAAAAGGGCTCCGCCCCAGAGGGTTTTAGGGGGTCCAATGTCAGACTTTTGGAACTACAATGTTTACAAATAAATATAATTTGAAAAGCAGATGTTTATACTTTTACCAACTGTTTTGTAGGTTCGAATAAGTGAATTACAACATTCTGTATTAGTCATGATTTGAAATAGTGCTACACTGTTTCCACAGAATGTAGCACAGAAAACTATTTTACTTTAGGATAAGATCCAAATATATTAAACCCCAATCGCAGCATTCGCAGCACACGTGTGCACTCAATAACTTTTAAATTCTCCACTATTAAATATGTTAACATAAAAAGTAAAAACCTTTATCAAAATTATAAACAATAAAAGGGATGGCAATGTCTATTATTTTTAACTTTTGTTCAATACCCACACAATCTAACATAAACGATTATAAGTGAATACAACAATCTTGAGTGCTATCTCAGGTACCGGTATTCAAATGTCTCCCAATTCGTCATCAACCCACCACATTACTGTCATTAAAAGAAGGAACTGCAATAATACCAATACGAAACTTAAATAGGCCTATACTCAAGCTGAGCGACGGAACCAGACTGACGATTAAAAAAGTGACACCAAACTTGATCGAAGCAACAATCATCAGTGGTAAGTTTAAAGGAGAAATAGTCTTAATCCCTAGAATACCGATCATTTAATATCCGAATTACCCTTTGAATTAAAGCGACTACAATTTCCTTTGAGTCTTGCTTTCGCAATCACCATTATAAGGCACATAGGCAATCCCTGACTATCGCTGGTTTAAATTTAGAATAAACATGCAATTTCACACGGACAGCTGTATGTTGCGTGCTCACATGGTGGTAGGTACGCTTCAAACCTATATATTTATACACCTAATGAAAAAAACAAAAAACATTGTTTATCCACTGGCAATTAAGTAAAATAAATACTCTATTTTTTGTCATAAGATATAATAAGTTACTGGGTTTAACAGTTTTGGCTGCCCGCTGTATAACTTAGGTATTAGGCCTAAGACTAGAGATGTGTTTTTTACTCTCTATGTTGACACGCTCTACAACCAGCTATATTAGCGTAGACATTTGATGTCATATCCCAAAACCTCGGCCTACTCTGTATTTTTAGGATAGGCCTAAAACTTTCAAAATTGCATCTCGAAACATTGATCATGTGTGACTGAACACTCAGGAACAATAACACAACTGACTGGCAGTACAGTGCTTCATACTGATTTAGCCTTACCATAGTCTAAGCTCTTGATTCTGCAAATGAATAACAAATGGTGGCTAAAAACAGAAGCTGATTTTGGGTACACTTCCATATCTGTTAGCACAAACAACCGAATGAGTAATATTGATTATTCGATTGTTTATTTCGATATATCGTTTGGTTAGTTAGGTTAGGTTAACCTTACTTAACTAACCAAACGATATATCGATCGATATTTTCAATCGGATGTTTGTGCCAACAGATGGATCAATTTTAGAGTGAACTGATTAAAAATAAATGCTGCTGTAGGCTGAATAACACCTGATTTATAATTTACCATTTTTGGGAAAGCTATGAAAATAACAAATTAGTCTACATGCAAGGTCTAGCATCAACATCACAAACGGCTTCTTACTTCTTATAGCGACTTATAGGTTAGAAACAAATACTTACACTTTAACGTTACCATTCCTTTTTTGGGCCATGCTAATTAACTTAAGTTTGCAATAAGCCCAAACAAAAATTAAAGTAAATCACTAGGTTAAATCAAATGAATTTTCACTGGATAAACAGCATAACTTCAGTCGACAAGTCAAGTCAACCAATCAACAACAAGCATAAATAAACAATAAACAACACAAAACAGAACACAACGACAACGACAACGACAACACAGGAACACAGACGAGAAACGGGGATTTACTCAAGGGAGGTACAGAAGAGGATTCGATGACGTCAGCTGTCAGAAAAAAAGTTGTTGACGTAATCGATTGAGCGATCTGTTGAAGGTGGAATATCGTACTCGTACTAAGTTTATCACTATCGTATCGTTTCGACTTTCGTTATTGTATGGCTGTCGGCTGCCGTTTGTTTATGTTTATGTGCTTTCCTCATCACTCTCCTCCTTCACTTCAACTAAGTTACTAAGTTTAAGTTTACTATTTATTTATAGGCCTACATACAGTTTAAAGTTAAAGGTAAGTAATTATTCCTAATTAACTTTTGAGGTATTAATAATTAGGCTTAAGTTATGGCTACTTTTAATTTGTATTATTGACCACATGATAGTCCAAACCCAGAAAAACCTAATCTTAACCTGATTTGCTTAGTTAATATAGGCTAGGCATAGGCTAGTCATTGATTTGTGTTTGTAAAAGTCAGGCCCAGAGTAGGATGACCAGGTTGTTTCAGAATAAAAACAGGACATTCAAACAAATCTCGGCCTCCCCCGTAACTTACAACACACACCTGAGTGTCTAATTAAATTACACAGAGGGTCTCTTATTTGCAAATTTTGTTGAGGTAGAAATCAAGTACGTTTAGGCCCTTTTATCAACCTGTTTTTAAGCTTTTAGACCAGTAAACTTACCTAATCTTATTTTCCATTAAAACTTATTTACACATCACACGATTGTCATAGTTGTTTTAAAAATACATTAATGGCATGCAGCTAGGGGCTAGGCAAGGTAAATACTTTTGTGAATCACCACATAGGCCAACTGAGAATAAAATAATCCAACAAATTTTAAGGGTTTTAGATCTTAGGGTACAGTTTCTTAACTGGGCTATGCTAATATCGATTGAAACTATCGATTCGATTGGCAAACTTTCATGCGATTTTTTCACCATCAGCAAGTTTGGTTGGTTAGGTTAGGTTATGATAGTTTAATTTTATAATAGATATATTTTTAAAAATTTAAAATATATTTAAAAAAATATATATTTTAAAAATATCGATTATTAATCAATATTTCCAATTCGATAAGTTAGTTTCAATTGATATAAGCATAAGTTAGCCCAGTTAAGAAACTGTACCCAGATCTTATTACAAGATTTATTACGGGTACAGTTTCTTAACTGGGCTATGCTAATATCGATTGAAACTATCGAATTTGGAAATATTGGTTAATAATCGATATTTTGAAATTTATCTATTAAGTTATAATGTAAAATTAAACTATCATAACCTAACCTAACCAACCAAACTTGCTGACGGTGAAAAAATCGCATGAAGGTTTACTAATTGAATCGATAGTTTCAATCGATATCAGCATAGCCCAGTTAAGAAACTGTACCATACCCTTTATTACTAATAAAACATAGGTGGTAATAGCCTACCGGTATGTGAAACTAAGTTATTGATTTTAAGTATCATGAGCATCTTAAATTTAATTTTGTTATCGTTAATTTGTATGCTGGGAATAAACTTAGGCCTACAGTTAACTTATAAATTACAGAAATTCATAATAAACTAAAAAAATGTTTTCTGTTTTGTTCTAAGAATAACTTGCTCACTTGCTTAAGAATAACATTAGGTTAAGTTATCCTTTTCGCAGAGGATACGCAACCGGGACCGTGGACGTGGATTATGCGTCCGGCAGTTATGCCTACAGTTATAACCTAACCTAACCAACCTAACTTGCTGATAATGAACAAATCAAATGAAGGTTAAATTCTGTTCATAAAATAAAAATAAATGCCAAAAATTCTAACTAAAGATGTACAGTTAAGAAGAAATGGGATTCTAAGCAAAATCTTTGACAAAAAGTTAGTAACTTCTAGGGCCTATCACCGATGTGATTCGATCTAGATACCTCATGTACATCAGCCATGTACTTAATCTACACACCACGAACACCAATGGCTAAATATCGTATCGTTGTGGAAATGGTGTTCCGGTCCCCCACAACCCGGTGACGTCAATGCCGGGTGCCTAAGTAATCCACATTCGGTAACCAGACGCGTATCCTCTAATCTGCGTTTTTTTTTTTTTTTTATATAAAGCAATAGGCCTTATTTACTTAAAAAAGTTATAACCAAACAAATTGAACAAAAAACCAAAGTGAACTTAACCAATTTCAAATAATAATAGGCCTAAGTTAATACTATCTATAACCCTCTAAGATTTAGCCAATACATAGTGTAGGCTAATTGAGTTAAAACTTTGATATTCAAATTCATCGCCTCATATTACTATTGGTGTTTACAAACAAGTCAATCTATTGATTACCGGTACCTAAGTTATTTCACCTTCAATTAGTTACGGTAATCATATAGCAATAATGGTACATTCATTGAGTAGACCTAGGCCTATTTATTGTAAAACAAAAGTAAGAATGTAATGCATAATACGCTATGGTTGACGCGCCGAGACCCTGAGTCCTTATCTAACCCAACCCAACCACAATGCCATAATATCATTGTTTTAAATTATTCAAAAGTGTTATTATCATTAGTCGTAGAATCAAATCCAATCGACAAATTATAAATATGAACGACTAAGATTGATTAGTAAGAACAAAGTAGGCCTAACTTACTTATAGACTAAATTTTGTGTAGGCTACTTCAATGTGTATCGGCAATCAAACTGTCGATGTGTTCACATTTTGTGTTTTTCATACTAACCGATTAAACTGTCAGCACATGCAGGAGCCCGGAACATTTACATTCGAAGATAATGTGTGTTTTTAATAACTTAGCTGATTTGTTGTCACGTCAATTTATTACACGTTCTTATTAGAATATTTTGAAATAATGCCTTAGGCCTATGCAAATATTTAAATAAAATGAGTAATGTTAAACTCTACTCTTTGACAAGCAGTCCTGATCATTCAAGACCCCAGCATGATTAATATTGACTACAATCATACCGATAATTAAGTTAATCTATTATATTTGTTTCAGGGCAAAAAGTGCTGCTGTCGCAACCATCAATGATTAGGATTGGAGTGGACGAAGAAACATTTATTTCCATTTTATTTGATTTTAAAAGTTTTTGTAATTTCTTTACATAATTTGGTTTTAACTTGCATAGAATATAATAAATAGTTTTGTCTAAACTTTGAGTTTTTATCCACCAAAAGTTGAAAAATAGATTTATTTTTTAATGTAAAATTTATAGTTGAAATAGATAACTGAACCAGACACTTTGTGTGTCACCAAAGATTGCGGCTTTTCACTGTTTTAGTCAAATAATCGTAATGTCCAATTGTACATAAATCGAATTACAGTTTTATATCAAATTGATCATCAATTGGATTAAATATACACATCAATGTTTGTGATGTTTGTACATTCATTGAACATTAAATAGTCTCAATTTGTACAAACATGAATGTGCATATGATGTTCACTAGATGACCAATTGAATTTTAATTTAACCTAAATTGAATAACAATTTGATGTAAAATTGATCATCAATTGATTGAGATACGCACATCATATGTATATCGATGTTTGTGACGTTTGTACAATAATTGAACGTTAATAGTCGTAATTTGTACAAACATGAATGTGCATACGATGTTCAGTTGAACATTCTTGAACATCAATTTAATGTTCAATTGATGTACATGTGTTATATGGGTAGGAACATATTAAAGTGATGCAAACAAATGTTATGTAAACGGTTAAGGCCATTTACCAAATAAAAATATAGACATATGGAATATCAAAATGAAGCTTAGAGTGTGTAGATTTTCTGAAAAGTTTTGATATGGACAAACTCCCTAAGAGGTCTGCCCCACAGACTGATTTCCAAAGGGCTACGCCTTGCATGTTTTGGAAGTTAACGTTATTTGAGTAATTTAGTAAACAACAGCTGGCCAATGCAATTTACAATATAGTTTGTTGGTTTGGAAAATCATTCAAATCATCTTGCACTTTATTGGACAATCACAACACCATTTACAGACTGAAGCGACATACGATATTGGACCTACCATTCAGATTCGGCTAAGTGTTATCAAAATTCTCTTTGTTTGCTAGTGTTGACGGTGGTCAATCACTAGCTCATGTTCTTCAAGTTATTTTTGTATTACTATTTATATCATTTGCTTATTGTTCAACTTGAACAGATTGTAAATTAATTAAGTTAAAAAAAAAAAAGTTCTTAAAAGAGGTGCGGTGAATAGACAGTGAAGCTATCTCTAGCCGTTTGATACAAGCGAGTGGTTAAAGGTGTTCGAAACACGATGAATATGAGATTAACAAACCATGTATGTCGTTCGTTCCAAGAGGTTGTAACCGATTTTTAACAGGTCGCCATTTCATTGACAAGTATTTAAGTAAAGTATTAAAGACATGAAAGAGAGCGGCGAGTTCAGGTACAACCCTACCCACCGTAGGACGTAAGGTTTGAAGGCTCCAATGCTTTTTTACCATCCTTTCAGATGACAATTTCTCGAACTTGGGCCCTTTAAATGAAATATAAAGTCAAAGTTGATTAAATTAATTTAATGGTGGCTTCTGTACACCCGTGAATTTGCGGGTAGAACCTCTTATATTGTTAATAGCAGTTTTCTTAGACTTAATATTATATTTTATCTAACAAAGTAATGTACCGGTAATGTCAAATCTGACGTGAGAAGCGAAGAGAGGATGATATGTTGTGTAAGTGCCGTATCTTTTCCTGCAATTTCGTTGATCCTTTTTATTCCAAAAACTACAGTTTGAAACTATTTTATGCCAAATTTATTTTCAAAGTTAAGGTAAGTTTTTTCGATCTATTGTGAATCATAAAAATTAGTTGGGGTCTATTATTGTTTTCAATTTAGGATTGTTGTTATCTTGCACTAGGCCTATATCATTATTCTGGTGGAAAGGTTGGTGAGATTTACATCCCTGGGTAAATCTTGACACCATCTTTGACCAAATGAAATTATTTGTACAGGAATATTATAGTAGCCTACCCGTTATAGCTTGCCTATATTCGATTAGGTACGTTAGGTGTAGCCTACCTATACATTATTCAAAATTCTTTATTGGGAGGATACAACATAATAAAAAAAGCAAGACTTGTCCGCTTTAAATTATCAATAGTGCTGATTGATAGTGTTGATTTTTTTTTATGGCATTCTTAAAAATTAACTCCAAGACAGAAACTGGCCTAAGTTAATATAAATTGGCTTTGGAACTGTAATGAAAATGAATGCCTTTGAACCAGTCTTTAAAAGCTAAACGAAAAAGGGACCTAAATAAACCATTTTTTGCCAAGTTAACCAATCATTTCAAGCTAAAGATTTCTATTTCAACCGGTATATTTAACATAATTGATAAATGATTGATCTTATTTCATGGAAGCCCCTGAGTCTAAGTTTGGCAATGTTTTTGTAAATAGAGTATAAGCATGGTATAAGTTAATACCTTGGATAAAGAACACTCAAACTGATTAATTTTTATTTATGTTAATACAGTATGAGTATGTTCCCATAGTGAGGGATTTCGCGGTATATTCCATATACACAACACACTGTCAATTTTTTTCAAGTGTCTGTCGTAACATAACCACAAACCAACCAGTCCGATTACGATGACGTAAACGTACGACTACGATGGGCAAATATCGATTGTAGTAGGATCTATCGATTATATCGATAGTTGGCGACTGACGACTCGAGTACTCGACCGAATCAACGATGACGTCATGGCCTGATGTGCTCTCTAATACAGCGCTGTTCACGGAGGAAATTTGAACTAAATTTGCCTCATTTGTACCTCCCTTCAGTCAGACCCCGAGAAACGACCGAACGACTCAGCAACAGTCAAACACCACCAGGCAACCTGACAAGTCGACAAGGCAACGCCAACTAAACAACATACATGTTCTTTCTTCTCTTTCTTTTCCTTCAATTTACATAGCCACGGCCACTTCGTTTATCATAGATAGATTAATCTTACTATTTTAGTAGATATACATAATATTAGAATAAAAATAGTTTACGCATCATATTGCATTGTTCTTTGCTTAGCGGAATAAAGATTTTTTTTCATCCTTATGGATCAGCTAAAGAAAAATTTTAATGTTAGTTCCATCCCGTCACTCAGGTGTCCCTAGAGGCACGTTGTTGTACAAATTTATCCTGATAAAATTGTGTAGCTTTTTTATGGTTCAACCCAGACCCAGCTGTCCTTTATCAATGGGCTTTAAATAAATGGTCCTGGCTAAGCAACTCTTCACATCAGTGTGATGCGGATGCGGGACCGATCCGTACCGGACGAAGCTGTTTAGACTATTGAATCATATGGGAGCGTTCACAGCAGTGCGGGTTCGCATGTAACTTACAGACGAAATAAGACTCTGTTCGGGTGGAAAAATCACCCGGATAACTAAACTTCGAATGCGTGACAGGATCGGATGGCTAGTATTTAGAACATTTGGCTCTTATGTACACTTTCACACTTGTGCGTTTCGGGCTGGATTCGCCAGGACATAAATCAGTAGTTTTGACGGTTTGGGCCCATCAGTGGTTGAGCGTAGTCAATTGATGGAACTCTTGTTAACTTAATAGGGAAGTTTGTTGTTTTCAATGTGGAAGAATAAATTGATATCGAGCACTTGATTAGTTTGGTCAAATATATTTTGGATGGTTTGAAGGCCAGTAATGTGGGACAATACCCCTATATCACAGGGGGGTGTATTTTATTTTATTATTTTCAATCACACACACCGAAAAATTCTTGTTCCATTCAGTCAATTTTAAAAGGCCATCTCAGCCAGCCCGCTTCCTCATCCGTAAAAACAACGAAACAACTCATATTTGGATTATAATACGCACCCATAGGTGGCGTTTTCATCACAAATAGTTATTGTTTTATCTATGCTTGTGTTTTATCATAGATAAAACATATTTTACCTATTCTTTTATTGTAGATTCATCCGGACTCACCCACGCTGGTCAGCAAGAACGGTTCACTTTAAATTTGAATCTCCTGTCCTTTTTCGACGCCGTTTTGTCGGTAAGATTAAAATATTTCAGATCCGATCAGATGACCGACGTTATGTTTATGCATGTCATACTTTAATTGATCTATGTAATGTTTTTTTAATTTAACACTGGTTAAGTTTTTTGCATGTTAATGCTTGTTTTTCATATTCATTCTTATTTATTGCACATATTTTAGTACCTATAATTATGCTATGTTTATGCATTAATTTAACCTATGTAAAGTATTTTTGAATGTAAAAATTGGGTATTTACTCAGGGGAGGTATAGATGAGGTTAAGATGACAGCTGTGGGCTTCTCATTAGCAGAGGGAACACCATTTGCGTAACAATACGATTTTCAGCTATCGGCCTCGGTGGTCTAGTGGGTAACGTGCCGGGTTGACAACCTGAGAGTCTCGGGTTCGAATCCCGCTAGTGGAACTAACTTTTTGAGTAAGCTTTTTTCATTATCAGCAAGTTTGGTTGGTTTGGTTCGGTTATTACAGTTTAATTTTATTATTAAGTCATTATAAAATTTTAATTGAGTAATTTCTAGTTTTATTTGATGAACAGAATTAGTTTTTTCTATTAATAATCTGTTTTATATTATTTCATTATCAGCAAGTTTGGTTAGTTCGGTTAGGTTATGATAGTGATTTTATAATAAAAAAATTTTAAAATTGAATTTGAGGCATTTATAATTTTATTTTATGAACAGAACTAGTTTGCAATTAGAAAACGACCTGCGCGCTAATGCTAAACCAATGCTGGAGGAGGTCGCTTTCTAAGTGGCCGAAAACCTTCAATGCCAAAATGCTCTCTACTACAGCGCTGTTCACGGAGGAATTTTGAACTAATGCCTCAATCGTACCTCCCCTAAGTCAGACCCTAAAAATTGTATTACCGTTGGAAGAATAAATAAATAAATAAAAAATAAAAAAATTATTATTAAATAATTAAATGAATGAATGAGTAAATAAATAAATAAATGAGAAAACTTTCATAATATTCCCATACGACCGACATCCCACTTGACCGGCATCTTATACGGCAAACACTGTCAATTTTTTGGAATGCCGGTTAAATGCGACTATTTAAGTTTCGGCATGGTTTCGGTCATTTGGGATGTCGGTCATTTGGGACCCCACGTAGGCTGCATGACGTCAATTGAAGTAGGAAGTCTTCTTTTGTCTGTCTTATCTGCTGACCTACCTTTGCCTTGCCAACCAGCCAGCTGTAGAGTGCAGATTGACAGACAAACAAAATTCGTGTTGACTCTGTTGACATATTGAAACGAAAGTGGGATCTTGAAATGAAAGTTGAGGTAGAGAATGGCTGGTGAAGTGTCTTGGAATAATTTACCTAGTGTTATTTTAAACGAAATATTCTCATATCTTTCGCACAATGACAAAGTGCGTGCCTCTTCAACCTGTTCAAACTGGCGTCTTGCATTAAGTCACCCAAAATGCTGGAGAAACGTAAAGTTTGTCGTCAAACCTCAGGACAATTTTGCAAATTCAATAGCTAGAACTAGATACTTGGTGGAATTTGCTGCTAGAAAGCTTCACAATGCTGTTATCACATTTGATTCCATGGATCCAGCATGTGTCGATGAAATCTCTAATGTTATTGAGAGTTTGGCCGAAAACGCCAATTTGAAAAGCTTGTTCCTCAATCCCAGCAATTGCAGTTTGGACTGTCCAAGTGGCCAAGGTGATGATTGGTCAAAGTACATTGAAAGGTAATATTATCAAGATTTCAAATTTATTCAGTATTGATAGGGCATAAGTTTACCACTAAGTTATATACGGGAAACTAGGCCTACTTACTTAGTTTAACACGTTCAGTGCGGCAGGCATTCCAACAGGCGCTCACCAATGGCGGTGAGGCCCGGGTGAAGCCCCGGCGCGGCACCGTAACAGCGAACACAATTGGCATTTAAATATTTCAATCTGACGATTAACAAAGGAGCAGCGGTGATTTTACGATGTTACCCCGAGATTGGACGTAGTTCCCTAAAACACCCAAAGGCCAAAGGTAGCAGCACTGCCTGAATCAGTAGTCAGTGGCTTTGTAATATGGCTTGAAGAGAGAAAATCCCCGAAACCAGGAAAAAAAGCATTGTCAGATGGGATTTTACAGGAAATTTTAGTACTAAGTTTAACCTACACCAAAATAAAGCTCACATTCTAAGCTACAGGCAAGCAACGATTTTTAACCTTCCCCGGCAATGGCTGAGCTCATACTGAACTAATGTAATGGGGGTTGCTTAACTACATCAATATAGATAATTACAAGACAAATAAATCTAAATTTAGGCCCTACAGATATTACTAAAATTTTGATTCTTTCAATAAATATGTTGGATGCCTGCTCCATTACTAGGTACATTGATGATACTAATTGATGTAGGCCAATAGCAGCGCTCGTGGCGCGATGTAGTCAGCACTCAACGTGTTAAGGCCTAATAATATTTTATTTTAATGCTTATTTTCCCCAGCCAGGCTAACTTAGCTCACCAATTCTTGCAATAGACCCCCAACCCATATAGCCTAGTTTTTCTAGAAACTTAACTTAGGCCTGACCTAATTCCTCTCTCTACGATAGTCGCAAATTTTCAACATGTGTTTTCTATTTTAGCAAGTTTGCAACACCTCTAATAAACGCAATAAGGAAAAGTCATCAGATGGAAGCTCTCAGTCTTGGATGTTTAGAGGAACTGATATCATCACACGCCAAAAATATTTTAGAGTTAATTGTCAATAAACATGCTAATAATATAAAAGTCCTTGGATTGGCTACCATCAAAGACTATCCAGATGACTACTTCATAACAGATTTGAACATACGCTTGTTGAAGCCTCTTGTAAATCTTCAGGTGAGTAACATAGGCCTAGAATTTAAACTTAAAGATTTCTCACTTTTAAGATTGATTAAATATTAAACAATAGGCCCTATTCAATATAACAGCATTTAAGTTAAGAATACTGAAAGGCCAACATAACTTGTCAAAAGTTAAGTTACACTTAGACAGTACAGTAAATACATAGGCTACCTTTACAAATCAATACGGTACTAGAGGTAGTTAGGTAGGCCTACAGAGGAAACACTTACAGGATGACCCCGTGCGCTTTCAGTTCTAGTAACTTATGTTGTGCCACAAATTACTTGAGACAATAAAGGTGGACGGCGAGCACTACGCGGAAATTCTTATCGCACAGGGTCTTCCTTTCACAGTTCAACAATTGGATTGTCCAATGCATCAACTCTGTAGGCTTAAGCCTATCAACTTGCCTAATAAAAATCTTAAATCTTGTTTTAAGTCCAAATGAGTTGGTGGTTCAATGGGTAGCATGACAGTTGGTAAAACCGAGGCCGCTATGCCATTGATTTGCATTCTGTTGCCACGATTCTAAATTTAGTACTGTATTTGAATAGTTAATTCTTATACTGTACCGTCTCTCCATTTGCTCAGCTGTATACCTTCCACCCACCGACCTTTAAGGCCTGTGTGGTCGGGCAAACGCAAGGTAAAAAAAACCACCAACCCCTTTAAATAATAATTAAAATAACAGGTTTCTTTTTAACAGATCCTTAGCATCGACTACTGCCATGTTAATGACAATCTACTGCACATCCTCGGTGACACTCAGCTGCGAAGGCTCGTGGTTCACGTTCACGGCATCATGGACGAACATCCAGGCACAACGGAAGGGGCCTGGACCTACCTCACACGAAAGCTGTAAGTCGAATGTCATCTAGTGTAAGTAAAGTTTTCAATTTGGTGTCTAGTTGCTGTTGTGTCTAAATCCTAATTGATTGATGTTAATTATAATGTCACACAATGTTCCAAGCACTCGATGTAGTTGTTTTGGGTCAGTATAAGAGATATTGCTAAGGTTCTTAGAAATAATTCAGTATACTATTGACTTTCAAGATATTTAATTTTCTGTGATTAATTAGAATTTAGAAGATTTTTTCATAAAAGTTCACTAAAATTGACAAATCAGAGGTCAGACAGGCGACATAATAGTCAGTTAAGATGTAAACTGGCTAACAAAGTGTGATAACTGATCAAACTAGAGAAGTAGGCTAGTTTAAAGTGTTCCTAAACTCATGAGGGCCAATTATAACAAAATTCTATATGTGGGTTAGTAGGTGGTACTAATATACGGTATTTTGTATCTCTTGGCGTTTTACTTATTAAAATTTTGTTTTTGCCATAAAATAACCAAAAAATTCAATTTTTCATAAATGATGTAGCCTACTAAACAATTTTGATTTAAATTTAGTATGTTATGGTCCTTTTAACTCTAAACAAAATCGTACAACTCCCACACCCTTTAAAGAATACGGTCTAAGTTATTGTGATTTTATCCCTAAAATATAGTTACTCCCACCACTTTGGCCTAACCATTATAAGGTGTTTGACAAGCTAATGGGAGAAAGTAAGTCAGTTTGCTGATACTGCTTATTCTACATGCCGGGTGTTTATTGAAGACTGTTTGGTATTATGGAAGGCCTAAACTAAACTTCTGATCAATGGCAGATCTGTGTGGTAATTTCTCTTACTAATATTCATTTACGTATGTAACACAGAGCCTGAGTTTTTAGATTTTTTGAGAACATAGAAGGCTTACCTGAATTGTGGAGAGTCAACACTGGCACAAGAAACACAACCCTCTACACATAGGCTACTCAAAATATTAGAATGTTTCACTGTCCTGTCACTGACTGCATTTTCAACCAAAGAAGGTTGAATATGAAGATAGGAACTTGCTAAGAGAAAAACAGTTCATTCAACACAGTAGATATATTTGAAGAGCAATATTTGTTGAATATAATGTTTATTTATATATGATAAAATTATTGATTATGATGTTTCAGCCCCCACTGTGAGCTTCGACTCACGCTGATTCACTCCTATGATGGAGTCGACGTTTTACACACCAAGATCCTTCGCCACGCCATGCCTCTTACGCACCTCAAGGTCTTCTTTTGCGAAAAGGTAGATTTTGCATGACTTAAACTTGTCAGTAACACTAATAGTGTTTAATGATTAATCTTACTAAGCTGTTTATTTTATTTATTTTTTTATTACTTGGTACAGCACATATACAATGAACTTATAATACAAAACTGCATAGGTAAGCCTTAAAAAAAGGCTTGTCCGCAGCGTTTCTTATAATGCTAATTGTCTTTTCCATCTTGATCTTGAGTCAGTGTGAACTATCAACTGTACAAAAATATATTTCCTACTTCTTAAACAATAACAAATTTGGCTTATAACCATTTTACATGATTACTTAAACAATTAAAATATTAAAGGGTCAAAAAAAGCTTTAGAAATAGTTATTTGTGTAACTAGTGGGCAAAGTGGCACTTTGCTGCACACGAGAGCAATGTTTACACACGAGCCGCAGGCGAGTGCGAATGATCTTGAGTGCAGCAAAGGCCTTTTGCACTCGTGTTACACATTATATTTTTCCTACAGTCACTAAAAAGCATATAAATAATTAGTCTTTCAAACACTATACAACACGTTTTTAGGTTCAGCTGGCAACACAAATTGGTGCCCTAGAGAAAGTAGTACCCGGTCCGTATCACTTCGCTATTTTTCCTCGGCAAGAAATGTGCTCCGCGTTTTGAGAATATAGTTCCGTATGTTTTTGTAATTTGAAGTGGTTTTCGCGCCTAAAAAAAATGCTATAAAGGTATTTTCTTGTTTAGGAATGTTTTAAGAACGTTTAAAAGAAAAGTCCAGAAAGTTCAGAAATACTGGAACTATAAACACGAAATGACAGGTTAAATCGTAGTTATAATAGTCAATCAGCTGCTCATAGTATTATTATCTTTAAGTGTTGCCAACCTATTTCCAAGCGTACACGGATTACGTGCATAATAGAACCACGCTGTTTTGTGTTGTTTCGTTGGAATCCTGATGTGCGGCAAAGTATGAACCGTACGACAAAGTATAAACCGTACGGCAAAGTATAAATATGCACCAATTAGCAGCTTTCTGTACTATAAACAGTTCAAGGAAGCCAACTTTGTCGGGTGACTGTAGGAAAAATAAATTGCTGTGAGGCAGTTTGTAACCTGGATCTCAAGAATTCCAATGCACTTGCAACACACAATTCCTGGATGGGGGGGGATATGTAGTCACAAATGTTGCCAAGATAGGTACTCAGCCTTCAATGTCAGGGTCTGCGATAAGTGAAACCACTAGACTTAAAGCCAGGTCCAACCAGTATAGGGCTGGCCCATATACGGGCACTATGAATAAGTCAAAACAAGTCACCAAACAATTGTGCAATCACCACCAGACCTACGCCGATTTTCTCCCTACGGGGTTGTTGCTGACTTTACAACTCGGGCTTCATCCTCACTATCCAATAACTAAGCACAGAGAGCCTAAAACAGTGTGAGTGACATGATGACTTGAGAGTTATAACCTCAACGCACGTTATCACCAGGCGGGTTCTACTCGGCCACTAAAATTCAATGCACCACTCCAATATGCCCAAGCTAACAACCAAACAGTAGTTAACTCAAAACACAGTAATTCAAAATAAGAATCAAAGTATCCGTAACTAAACACCTAGTTCCTGGTATCTACAACTGATTTATGAGTACCAGTAGATAAAACATTGAGCTGGAATAATACTTTTGGTGATGCAATTCAGCTAAACAATACATAGGCTCCGGATTAACCCTCTTTGATACGATATTTTCCTGTAGATGCACATGTTTATTTACAGCGTGGGGTGAAAATAGAGTAGTTTGCACAATACATACCTACTTTTTGGCAAGACCACGGGGCGAGCTCTCGTTTATACTATTAGAAATTTAAAACTCAATTTATTAGTTCCAATTTGAATTTTCTCTCTCCGTCAGATTTCAGCATCCGTATAAAATTACATCTCTAATTTGCATAACTGTTGACTAAAAACCCCTTTGCACATCTTAACCTGCCGACGCCCTAGAGGTCGTGATCTAAGGTGGCCTAGTGAATAATCCAGCCCTGACGATACATTACATACAGTTTTTGCTCATATAATATTTACTATTGAAAGGTGGTTATTTTTTTGTCGTGTTGTAGCTCAACATAGAAGCAGTTCACCAGCTGAGTCTGTACAGTGACACTCTTCGCAGTATCTGGTGGGTAGACTCGATGTCTAACACTGGCAACCACTCCCTAGTAGAATCTACCTTAGTCAACCCTTTCGTCATGTGTTGCTGGCGATGTCATAAGCTGGAAGAGCTGGTTTTCATAGGTAAGCAACTCATACTACGAACATGTAACGTTAGTTTTTTTAATAACCCTTTTCTAAAATTATCATTAGATAACATCAGTCAGTGGTCATTCGATTAATTTATTGTTTTGAGTTTTGAGGGGATTATCCAACAATTTCTGTAGGGATGTGTTTGTGAAATACAAATTTTAATTTTTTTTTTGTACCCTTAATAACGGCGTTATTGATTCTCTTTTTTGATACCGATTCACAGTTTGCGTTAGCATCTCGATTTTCTGGCGTCGGCTCAACCAGTGGTCAATACCTACTATTGTATGACACCCAATATGATAATAGGTCAAATAACGGGGGCATATTTTATTGTTAATGCTATTTACTGTTGCTGTTTCCAGGCCATAAGTACCTGTCGCTGGACGTGATCGCAGTGATACGTCTACGTGGCGAGACGCTCACACACCTGTGTTTAGCTGCCGATGACATCGCCTTCTATGCCGATCCCCCCGACCCTTCTGTGGAGCCCACACTCAAAGAACTGCAGCAGGTCGGTTCTATTTTGTTGACAAATTACAAACGCTTTAGAGCAAAAGAGTGATGACGAGACAACCTGCATACATTCAGACACTACTGTCGTAGATCGGCACCGTGACGCGCCAAGTGTTAGTTATATTGTGCAGCCCCGTTCACAGCCAACAAAAATGTAAAAAAAAAAATACACCATGACAAAATTTGACCCTTAAAGAGCTTTTGATCTCCCCAACTACCTGCCTACATTTCCTTTGATTCTCTTCTCAGTGTTCCTCATTGTTTTGATTTAAATTTAGTATGTTATAGTCGTTTACTGTTAAAAACGCGGTATAACCCCCATTGCCTTAAAAACTACGGTTCAAAAGTGATTGCAACTTTTGAGATTCTCCCACCACTGCTCACCCATGATAAGGGTTGTTAACAAGCTAATGGGATAAAGTATGTCAGATTGCTGATACCGTTATTTTTTATACAGGAGATCAGTGATCATATAGGCCGGCCTTGGACTGCACTGGTTGAGCCTCAGCTTCATCCAGTCATATGGAATCCTACTGCAGGTGACTCTGACGAATTCGTCCTTCCAATCGTGCTCAAAGATATCGAGCCGTAGCCGACACACGACTGAGTGTTTTATATCCCTGTCTACATTCCGCAGGATGCCAACTATCGACTCACCGAACACCATCGTGATACAATTTTGTGAGTCTTCTTCAAATATTTGGCTTATTTGATTCTACATTATTTTGTACGAGTACAGTGGTACTACTTTCGACCATCCTATGTGAAATCAGTTTTTGTAAACTGATGTGTAGAGTTAAGGCATAAACTATGTTAGGCACAATTATTTTAGAATCACTCTTATTGTTTTGTATGATTTTGATATTTGTGTTTCACTACACGTTTATTCTATATGTATTTAAAGAAAACTGTTAATAATTTTTGTAGGCAGTTTAGGTTTTTAGTTTAGCTCATGTTCAGCAGACCTCTTTCAAAACACTATATAGTTGTTAGCCTACTAAACAATTGTCAGAAAATGTTTATTTTGTCAAGATGTTATTTAATTTATTAGATACACATGTAAGAATTAATTGCATATATCCCTCTGTTCACATTTGCCTAGCACAATGATCAAAAGAATCAATCGCAAGGTTTAATATCTATGTTATTTGTGAGAGTGTAACAGCTTGCAGGATGAAGGGAAAAGGCTCAAATTAAAGGTCTTGGTCCCAGGGAGCCGGGGAAAATAGCAGATTAAATCTACAAGAAATTGAAAAATGACAAAACATATCTTCCATTTAAAATGCATTGGGATTGAAAAAACGTCTGCTTTGTTTATATTAATCATGTGATTACATTTTTTATCGTTTTCATTCTACTTACTTTTTATTCTTTTCATAGAGTGTGTGAAGTTTGTTTACTAATCAACAAATAATTCAGATGAATTCTGCTTTCGCAAGTGATCTACAAATTATTAACTTACAATTTTCAGAACTGCTGTGTGAAAGATCATTTGATTCTTAGTTTGTTTAAATATCACAATAGTTTTGTTTTACATTTGAGCTTTTTTGGGACTTATGTCCGAACATTATAAACTGTTCTGCAAAGTGAATAGAGATTTTCATAAAACCATCAAGTGATCAATGCTTTGGCTTGTTTATTCCTAAAAACGTTCAATATAATCTCAGGAACTATGTGCTAATATACTGATACAAACCAATCTTGTATGTATAATCAGAATATAAATACTTCATCTGTTAAGCAATTATAGTATAGTATGTAGATTGTTATATTGAATGTTCAATCCTTTGATTGTCCTCTATCGCCTGGCAATTCACTAATACAACTACCACATTAGTAGAAGCAGATAGCATGTAATATGTTAATATTTTTATATAAAGAAATAATTTGGCCTTAAATGTTAGTATATTGGAAATGAATAATAATTACATTCCGATGCGATTAAATTAGAAATATTCAACAAGTTTTGACAATTTGAAATCAATCAAACTATAATAGAGAAAAAGACATAATCAAACAATGGAGTAATTAGCCGTTGATAACGTGAAAGGCAAAACAAGTTTACGTTTAATCCATCTTTAGTATGAATCATATAAATATGTTATTACCTATGTAGGCCTACTATTAATTGACTTTAAACAACACCTTGAGATCATTAAGTGTCAGATTGGATGATGCTTCATTGGCTCCGGTCAGTACAGAGTCTGAGATTGACAGCTTCTTGTTTTGCAAACCCAACACATTTTCTTCAACCGTATCACTTGCGACAAACTTGTAAATCTGAACATCTTTCTCTTGGCCAACTCTGTAGATACGATCAAACTCTTGACTCTCAAGCTGAGGTTTCCAATGGATGTATAGAAGCAACAGATTTGCTCCAATCAGCATCAAACCAACTCCTCCAGACGTGAGTGACAATAGAAGAACTCTTGGTTCTGATCCTTTATGTTAAACTTTTTTACAATTCAAAGATTCAAAGATTCAAAGATTTATTTCAACAAGAAACAAGATTGCACACTTGTACAGTTGACGTCAAGATACTAAGACTAATAAATTAACAAGAGTGAATATATATCTAAAGATCAACAATGCCATCTATATAACTATAAACAAGGTAACAAGGTGTAAACATAACAGAGCAAGACTAGTCAATGTCAATAATTAATTACTAAAACTTAAATTAATTCTGGAACATTTAAAATATTCTTCCAAGCTATAAAACGGGTTTTCAAGCAGCCAGGCCATTAGACTAGATTTAAAGGACTTCATGCTAACATGGTGTGAATCAAGAGGTAGCCTGTTAAACAATTTAATTCCAAGATAAGAAAAGGATTCTTGTGTTTTTGCAAGCCTTGCTTGAGGTAAATCTAAGTAATGTCTCCTCCTGGTTAAATGGACATGAGTTTCACCTCTTAAAGCTATGGAACCTAGATTTGCTTTTACATGTAACAAACACTTAAAAATAAACAAGCTATAAACAGTTAAAATTTTTTCACGGACAAAAAGTGGTTTACAATGTGCATGGTAACTAGAACTTGTAATTATTATAATAGCTTCCTTTTGCTTTGACAAGACTCTTTTCATGCCATGGCCACAGCCCCAAAGTAGTATACCATAGCTTATAATGCTATTGAAAAAAGCAAAGTAAGCCATTCTCAAGTAGGATTTTGGTATACAAGTTTTTAGTTTTCTAAGAAGATGAACTACTCTTGATAGTCTACTTGTAACATTATTTATGTGGGAATTCCAATTTAGTTTTGAGTCTAAACGTATTCCTAACAGTTTTACATTCTCATTCACTTAAGATAAGCTAAGATTCCTGTTTCTTAAGCTAAACAAAATAGACTGGGTTTTGCTACTATTTAACAACAAACCATTACTTTTAAACCATATATTACATTCAGAAATGCAATTTTCCATCTGACCCTTAATAGTTTCAATGTTGACATCATTACAAAAAAAAGTTGAGTCGTCAGCAAAAATTATTGACTTACAGGGTGTAGGAACATTCTACCACGATCTTTGACAGGAATCTGCCCAGTGAGTATTAAGCATTTGATACTCATCTGTTTCAACACTGAATGAATTAAATCGAGATATTTGACCCACTGAGATAATATCAATAGTTTAGTCATTGCTGGTCAAAATGGGTTCCGTCCCAACCACATTCCTCATCTTAGAACTCAAGCGACCCTTAGCAAAAAATGGATTATCTTTTCCCAAGGGTGTTATGTCTGTGACATTATCATTCAAATGATCCTGGTTATGATTAGTAATATACATTTGTGCCATCTGTTCCACCAGATCAATACCATCAAGACCATCTGAATCTTCAATTTCACCATTAGAAATGTCTTCTTTCTCCAACATAGGTCTGGATGAGTGGCGGATTATAGCAGAACTGTCGCAGCCTCAACAGTAGCACTAGGATGTGGTGACATTTGACATCAGAAATTTGTTTCATCTTTTTTTCTAACTGTGCCAGCTCCAGGTGGTCTTTGATTGCTTCCTGAGCATGCTGTAAATGTTTAGGCTTCAATGTAGTTCCATCCAAAGTCTTCTCTTTTTCAGCCATTTGATGAAGATATGTTGCGAGCAAAGTCTTGGAAAAAAATAGGATTTTCTCGTATATGATCTTTTCTTTGTTGTCCATATGAATCATGATGTATTGAGCTTTTTTTAGGGATTTTTTTAGTTTGCCCACTTCCCGAAGCAGCATGATGGACTGATGATGGTATTGAGACGTTGCCCTCCAGCCGCCTTTCCATTGTCTACCCATGTCTTCCACACCCCTAATGAGGGACATAATCCTTACTTGGTGAAGAAGCTAAACTATTTTGTTTTTGCTCACAGTTTGAATTTTTACTGTTGTCTAAATCTTTATCAATATCTAGCAGGCTTTTGGGCTCTCTTCATGATGAAAATGTTTTTTTTTCATTTTGAACTAACTAAATCCTCTGGGTGGTGATCAGCTATTCTGTTATGTTTTTTAATACAGTTTTTTCCCACAAACTTTATGGATAAGATTTTGACTTGATTGATAACTTTTGTTTGAACAAAATTTCTGTATTTCTGTTCCAGTTCCAACGGTTTCCTATTGATTTAGTATTGATTGGATATTGGAAATCACTCTTTTAAGTGGAGACTTTGGTTAAAAAAATGAAAAAGGGACGTTATAGGCTACATACAAATTTCCTTAAATAAACACCTTTTTATGAGTACAGATTTTTTTTTAGCTCCGGCTCTATGATAGTTTACTGTAACCTATGTTCTTAAAAACTTCCATTTCTTTAAAATTTCATTGATCACAGAAAAATGACTACTTCTATTGGTTAGTGAAAATTTGAGATATTTACTAAATGGTCAAAACGTTTTCTTGGAGACCTAAAAAATATCAAAGTAACCAATAAATACTGCTCACACAAATACATCTGTAGGTACTAATAAACTGTATCCAAGGATTAGTAATACCTCCAATAAGTTTGTAAAACAGTACATTATTTAGAAGTAGTATGAGTTTAAATATTCAAGAAGAAAACTGAAATAGAAAATATATTCATAGTATGGATGTATTGCAAGATGTATGTATCTTATTGCAAGAAACCATGAATAAATAAATTGAAAAGAAATGTGAATATAGCACAACAATTAAACTTTGAAAAGTTCACTTGAGGGAATAAAGGTTTGATGCGTCATAGGGTTTAACATTCAAAAGAAATACTAGTTGTATTTTTGACAAATGCATATATGTCTTGTTTCTAGGATTTTAATTTAAGTTAAAAAATATAACCATTTAAATAGTTGCAGTTTGACATACTTGGAATATTTTTGTCCAACCTTGAAGCGCTTCAATTTTACTATTAATAGAACCAAATTGTTACTAGGTCAAAAAATGTTCCCATCTTCCTTTGTTTCCGCTATTGATGTTCTGTGTTGCGCTAAAAATAGCCCCCGATGATACAGATCCACAAATAGTTCATCACACTTACAGTCAACGCAGTATTCCACTTGATTGCTGCAAATTTTACATTTATTTACTGTATTTGTGAACTCATTTTCAATGTTCAACTGTAATTATTACCCTATCATTTGTTCTTTACACTGTATCTCATTGATTTATGAGACAATGAATGTAGGAAAAAACGATACTAGCAAAAAGAATTATTTTTTTTTTCATTTTTAACTATTATTTATACTAGAAAGAAGCAATTGGGTGTTAGTATATTTTGTCCTGTGCCTTTAAGAAGTATAAGAACCTTTAAGATGATCGTTAAAAAGCAGGGAAAATGTAGGTTTGTTTTCTTACCAGAGTTTAGTATAAATTCATCATAGATTCAGATGAATCTGTAGAATTAACTCTAATACACTATATTAGTCAAATAAGTCCTATGTTATTAGGATTCTATTTCAGTGCGTTAAACATTGATTATAGAGTTAATCCCCAAGTTGCTAGCTAACAGTCTTTTAAGGTGACATTTATTAGCTGAACGCTTAATTTCTTAACGTTCTGCTGCTAGAGTTTCTAATCTTTTTATTTATTGTTGAAAAGTAAAGAGTCAAACAGCAGTGCCGCTATGGTAAATTTGATAGTAGAGTTAAAAAATCGCAAGACTGAACAGTTCAAGAGTCGATTGTGAATCAAACTGGGTCAATTCTGACCTAGCTGATCACAAACTTTGTAAGATTGTGAAAATCTTTGCTTGTTATTCACCCAACTACGTTTATATTTACTGTATATAGGATCTAACAAATGAACGTGAAAAGACTATCATTAACAAGCTAATATTAAGTGTTTGCCCAAATAACGGTGTCATTGTTAATATTACTAGTCATGTAATTACTGGTCAACTTCCACCTGTTAACTGACCGGCTGCTGTGATATTAGTTTGAAGACCTTACAATGACATCGTGTTGTTTATTACGAGTAACAACTAGTAGTGATAGATTGTCAGATATGTTAGCTGTGGAAAAAGCACAATGAAAACTCAAAGTGAGTTGACGAACATTTAACTTGTAATGTCATTGAAGATGAATGGTATAAAGGTTGTGAGCAATCCATTTGGCTATTTTTCACCAAAAGTTGATAAACTGAGATAGGGAATGTGTTAGCAATTGACTAGAAACCATAGAGTAGACAGCATATTCTTCTTCCTTCCAGAACCTTCAAGAACTTAGGAAGACGCTAGTAGCTCCGAATATTTTACGTGTTTTTATGAGGGTTCAGACTCTTTTCAGTTTATATAACCGATCCTTAGAATTCTAAAAGAGTTGATTCAACTGCAAACAGGCGGAATGTTTCATTTGTGTTTTTTCTAGCTACAATAAACAATGTATAAATTTTTTTGGGGGGCAAGTTTTGTATCACAGTAAAGTTGTATGACTTATTGTGCAGTAAATCCAAATAAGGCGTACGAAATAAGTTTGTGGACTGCCTCCACAATGAAGAAGTAAATTATTAGAGTAGATAGAATGAAAATGATCCAATGTTGTCAAATTTCAACGTGATTCAAAACGAGCTATAATTTCTGTTGGAATACATTTGTGTCATGTACAATATTTGATTTAAGTATGCTTAATCGCTTGGTTGTAGTAATTTCATAGTTGAAACATGAAATTATAGATAAAGAACTGTGTAGGTTTTCAAATGCAAATGGATTGCCACAACATGTCATCCTTAGTTTATGTATGTTATGTTTATGAGCTTTTATCTTACAACAACTGTTAGTGATTAGAATGTGATTTTTCATTAAAACATTCTACTCCTTAAACTGTTAAGCTAAGGATACACAATTATAAATAGCAATGTCTTAGGCATCATACAAAGTAAGTTGTATATTAAAATATTTAATCCTCATCCTCTAATTTAATGTTAACATCTTTTCTTGACCATTGAATTATGAAAAATTGTTTTTCCAGATTCGTTTATTTTTTCATGGTGCTGAAATAAGTCTAATTGAACTATTTCAAAGTGATGAGAACTGGTAAACATTATTAACGTTAGAGATATTTTTCCCTCAGTCTTGTTTGACTACTTTTTAGGCATTTTAAACATTTCTGCGAACCTTTTAAATTGTTTCAATAGTTTCTAAATGGTTTTAAAAGCAGTTTTGTAGTATTTTCAGGTTTATACGTGAGGGATAAATGGTTAAAATTTACTTTAATGTTTAAAATTTGTTATGGGTTGAGGAAGCCATTGTTATGATGGTATATGTTATAAAAGTAATTTAGAGACTATTTTTTATATAGGTTGTTTTCTGTTGTGAAAAGTAATATGTTTATTTTTGGTATTTATATTCTTAGTAATCTGTCCACTAGTGTAAGGTAATCTTTTGTAAAAATGAATATATACATATATATAATATTATCACTATCCTATGAAATATGCTTGGGTGATTAGGCAGGTCTTTTCAAGGATAGCCAACTACTAATGGTTAAAAACAAAATAGGTTTGTTCAAAAGATTAATGGATTTATTTTTTTTAGGTTCAATCAAATTCTTTCCCAGCTAAAATGTATGTAGAATTCCCCTACATTGTACATTTTTGTACTACTAGTGTTCAAATTGTAAAACACACAAAAGCACAATGTTAACTCTTATTCGTAGAAAAAAACATACATAAACAAACTAATTTGGTCAATCATGTTTGTCTTAGCATGACAACAATTTTGACATTCTTGATAATTTAATGGTAGTGTGATTAACCAAAGTATTATCTATTCAATTTATACCGAGATTTTCTAATTGGCAAATCTATAAATCTTGAAAAGATGAAAGCACTTGCGGAACCATTATATGGTTGTCTAAGTTTTAAAAAAACTTGTCATATTGTATATCAATCTGTTTTTGTAGGATAATCCTTAACTTATGCAAAATAAATAAATTACAAAGAACCTCTCCAAGGAGCTCTTATAGAGCTAAAATTGTTATTATTTGTTTTATTATCTTTTTGGCTTTGTTTATTTGTGTTAGAAAAACTGCTGTAGCTAAATGAGGTAAAATAGTTTTTACAGTCACTTTGTTAAACAGTATGTGTTTATCTCAATTAGTGTAACCTTGAAGTTTGGTTGCTTTCCAAGACTGTTGAGTTTTTCACGCCATAGTTCATTTAATTTGATTTTAACTATGCAAAAATTAG